GTAGTAGTAGATATGGTCGTAGTAGTGGTAGTAGGAGTAGTCGTACCAGTAATGATAACAATGGGAGTCCAAGCGGTAATAGAAGTCGTAGTCGTGGTGCTAGTGGTAGTCGTAACCGTAGTCGAAGCTGTAGCAATCATCGGAATAGCAATGGGGGTGGTAGTAGTAGTTGGTGTGGTAGTAGTAGTAGTAGTCGTAGTAGTAATAATTATGGTAGTCGCGATGCTAATGACATTAGTAGTAGTAGAAGTAGTAGTAGTAGTGGTAGTAGTAGTAGTAGTAGTAGTAGTAGTAGTAGTAGTAGTAGGTAGTAGTAGTAGTAGTAGTCGTGATAGCAGAAGTAGTTGTAGTAGTAGCAGTAATAGTAGTAGTAATGCTAAGAAACATAGACATCGTGATGGTAGTCGTAGTAGTACTAGTAGTAGCAACAGCGGCAATCGTAAGAATAGCAGTGGCAGTAGGAGTCGTCGCCGTAGCATTCGCAGTAGTAGTGGTATTAGTGGTCGAAAGAGGAGTAGTAGAACTAGCGGTAGCCGTCGTATTAGAAGTAGCAGAAGTACTGATAATAGTAGTAGTTGCAAGAGTAATGGCAATAGTAGTAGTGGTCGCCGTCGCCGTAGTAGAAAATGATACAAGTAGTCGCGCTTGTCGTCGTCCTCCTAGTAGTAGCTGTAATAGTCGTCGTCGTCGTAGCAGCCGCAACACTAGTTGTCGTAGAGTCGTAGCGTTAGCCGTAGTAGAAGTAGTAGTAGTAGTCGTAGTAGTCGTAGTAGTAGTAGTAGTGGTAGTAGTAGTAGTAGTAGTAGTAGTCGTGGTAGTAGTAGTAGTAGTAGTAGTAGTAGTGGTAGTGGTAGTAGTAGTAGTAGTTGTAGCAGTAGTCGTAGTATATGGCAGGTATGAATAAGTTTGATTCGCCGTCGTCGTAATAACTCGTCGTAGTTGTAGTCGCAATCCCAGTCGAAGTAATAGTACCAGTGGTAGTAGTAGTAGTAGCAGTAGTAGAAGTAATACTAGTCGCAGTAGTAGTCGTGCCAGTAATATTAACAGAAACGGTCGCAGTAGAAGACGTAGTAGTAGACGTAGTAGTAGTATACAATAGAAGTAACAGTAGTCGTAGTAGTAGTAGTAGCAGTAGTAATAGTAGAAGCCGTAGTAGTAGTAGTAGTAGTAGTAGTAGTAGCAGTGGTGGTAAGAATAGTAGTGATCGTGGTGGTCGGAGTAATACCAGTGAGAGTAGTAGTAGAAGTAGTAGTTGTCGGACCAGTAGAAGTAGTAGCAGTGATAGAAGTAGCAGAATAGTAATAAGCTTCGCCGTAGTCGTAGAACTAGCAATCGTAATCGTAGTCGTAATTCTAGTAGTAGTCGTAATAGTCGTAGTTGGTAGTAGTAGTAAAAATAGTTGTAATACTCGTAGTAGTACTAGTACGAGTAGTAGTAGTAGTAGTAGTAGTAGTAGTATGAGCCGAAGAAGAACAGATCGCCGTCGTAGTGGCGCTGGACGTAGTAGTAGCCGTAGTAGTCATCGTAATAGTGGTACCATTACTAAACGTAATGGTAGTCGTAGTCGTAGTAATAGGTCCTCGTAGTCCCAGTGGTAGCCCTACTACTGATAATAACAGTAGAAGTCGTAGTAATCGTAGTTGTCGTGCCAAGAGTCATAGTAGAAGTGCGCCGTTGACGTCGCACTAGGTGGTAATAGCAGTGGTAGTGGTAGAACGAATGGTAATATTAGTAGTAATAGTAGTGGTGGTGACTGTGTTGCAGTAGTAGTGGCAGTAGCAGTAGCGGCAGTAGTTGTAGTGGTAGTAGTAGTCGCAGTGGTAATAGTAGCACTGGTCGTAGTAGTAGCTGTAGTAGTAGTGGTAGTGGTAGTAGTAGTACTGGTAGTAGTGGTAGTAGTAGTAGTAGTACTAGTAGTAGTCGTCGTAGTAATAGTAGTCGTAGTAGTAGTAGTAGTAGTAGTAGTAGTAGTAGTAGTAGTAGTAGTAATAGTAGTAGAAGTAGTAGTAGTAGAAGTAGTAGTAGTAGTAGTCGTATTAGTCGTAGAACTAGCGGTCGCAGTCGTAGTCTAAATACTAAGAATAGCGGTAGTCGTAGTAATAGTCGTCGTTGGTACTGGTGGTCGTAGACGTAGTCGCAGTACTATGAGAGTCGTGCTCGTCGTCGTAGTAATACACATGCCAGTAGTAGTAGAAGTAGTAGTAGTAGTAGTAGTAGTAGTAGTAGTAGTGGTAGTAGTCGTCGTGATCGTAGTGATAATAATTATAATAGTGTAGTAGTGGTCGTAGTCGTAGTAGTAGTAGTCGTAGTAGTAGTAGTAGTAGTAGTAGTAGTTTAAAGTAGTAGTAGTAGTAGTAGTAGTAGTAGTAGTAGTAGTAGTGGTAGTAGCAGTAGTGGTGGTAGTCGTAGTAGTAGTACGAGTAGTAGTAGTAGTAGTAGTAGTAGTAGTAGTAGTAGCAGTAGCAGTAGTAGTAGTATTAATCGTGCTAGTAGTATCGTT